ATTAGTGGAACAAATATAAAAGATATGATAATAACATTATTTTTCAATTAAATATAGAAGATATGACAATATCATTAATTTTGAATTTGAATCTTAAATTCAAATTCAAAATTCAAATATGTGTAATCAATTCAAATAGGCGCGAATTGATGACACTTAATTCTCTTGCCTTTATTGTGTACGTTTCTTTTTTGTCTCGGTATGTCTTAGTTAGTATAAATTGGGTGTTGTGTTGCATTGTAAAACACCCCAGACTTGTATCTTTCCACTCCTTCAAAAATAATAAAAAGAGAATTCCCAAAAGTCCAATCTCATTTTTCGATTTGTCCTTTAGCGATCGCTACCACTTTGAAAGTAACAAATTTTTTTTTTTTTTTTGGGAATTCCCACCCCGGAAAAGGGCAAGGGCATTAAAATGATTAAATTTATTAGCATATAAAGGCTGATATCCGAGCAGGGGATGCACCAAAGTTAAGGAAAGATGAGGGGAGTGAGATAAAATTGATGTGGCTTGGGGTTAGTTCACTAGAAGGGGCTAATTTTAGTTTGTTTCTTATTCTGAGAGGGTTAAGATAAAACTCCAGGCCCTAGTGCAGTAGGTGAGCCAGAAACACTTACTATAGATTTAGCTTTGAGAAGAGATGGCTAAAATATGCTCAAATTTTACATTTTTTATGTCTAAATTATGCAACCAATCCAAGTCGCCTCGGTCCAGCTCTGTGCCGGTTAAAATTCCCGGTTCAACTTCTGGACCAGTTCGAATTCCCTACGCCTCCGGCTCCCCACTCTCATTTATGTGACCCGTTGTGCTAGACCGCAGTGCATTTTCGCGGCCCACCCATTGGCCCGCCCACTTTTGATATTGTCAACCATCGCCAACCGCCTTTAACCACAGTCGACCGTCGTCGACACCCATCGAAGCACTCCTGTCACCGTCATCCACCTTCGACAATTGTCGATCACCGTCAACCACCGTCGACCACCCTCGACCAAACGCTGTTAATCGCTATTGGCCGTCGCCACTCGACATTATAACTTCAAAAACCTTGTAACCCTTTTCTGCTTGTGGGAAAAGTAGTTATAACTGTAATCATCTTTTTACATTGAAACTTTTCAGTTGTGTCAGTCCCCGTGATTTTTCCCTTTCCAAGTTCTCCACGTAAAGACTTATGGTATTATTATTACCTGTTTTCTCTTTTCTTAGTATGTGCAAAATCTTCGTATCATGCTAAGATAATAACATGCTATTCTACTGTAGCGAATTTTCTAGCACACATCAGCTCTTAAGATGAGATTAATTTTCTTAATTATGTTGCTATCATATTGTTCACACCTAAAGCATGAGAGAAAGAAAAAGTATTTTGCTTGTTTCACATAGTAAGTTTAAGTTTGATATGAGAGACATGAACTTAAAAGAAATAGAATGGAGCCAGCAACTATTTAAATGAGCATACTCAGTAAATAAAGCCAAAAAAAATAATTGTAGTGTCCATCAGAGACTTTCTATTTTTTTGTAAATATATAAATAGCACGCTCTCAAAAAACCTAAAAATTCGCAAAAAAAAATTTAAAATAGCCATTTTATACTTTGATATTATCTTTAATTTTTTAATTTTTTTTTAAATAAATCATCCAAAATATTAGATAGAATATTTTAATCATTCAAACTTTAAATATACAATTTTAACGTCCAAAAATCCTTACTCAAAACCTTCATTATTGAGTCGAGGACGGTGTTTGTAATGAAAAAATTGGTTAAAATGTTGTATCTAAAATTTGGGTGATTAAAATTATAAAAAATTGGTTAAAATGTTGTATCTAAAATTTGGGTGATTAAAATTATATTTATTTATTTTAGGTAGTGAGTTTGTAGAAGTCTTTTTTTTTATTATTCTAAATCTAAAATTACATTATCTTTTAAGTGATCAACGGATTGATGTGAAAAATATTATTGTATTTTTTAACCAACATTTGTTATCATTTGGAATTATTTTCAACCAAATTATTTGCCAGAAATAACATAGTTCTCCATGATGATGTAAAACAGCTAGATTTAGGGTCTGTTTGGGGCAGCTGTAGTTTATTGAATAATCTGCTGATTAAAAATAATCTGCCGATAAGCTAGGTGCGGTGGCTATTACAAATTTTTAATTTTTTTTTGAAAAGTCAGATCATTGCCAATAAGCTCCCAGGTGCGGTGTGAAAACACTGTATTCTGCGTTTTGAAAACGCATAAGCTGCCAAAACGCAGTTTACCCAAACAGGCCAAGTGCGTTTTCAAAACGCCACTGCACCAAATAAACTGCCCCAAACAGGTTAATTATGGTTAAAACCTTTAATTCATATATAATCATAAACTTAGAGTGAGTTTGTATTATATATATATATAGTGATTCCCATAAAGATTCATGTATGAAATAATTTCTGAACACTGAAATGCTTCCACAATGAGTACTATTCATCTCTGCCACTGAAGACAAATTTCATCCCCGTCATCACACCAACAGTGAAAGTTAGACACGTCAAATATACTACAACAATCAACTTCACTCATCGTCCAAACAAATTTTCATGAGATCTCACGAATCCAACAAAGCCATGCCTATAAAAAAGGAACACAAGTAGCATATATACTTTCATCCATCACTACAAGAAAAAAAACAGAACGTTAATGATGGGCGGGATGAAGGAAGGAACACGAAGAGGACCATGGACAGAGCAGGAAGACCTGCAGCTTGTGTGCTTTGTGAGGATATTTGGTGATCGACGTTGGGATTTCATAGCAAACCTCTCAGGTTTGAGTTTATAACTTAGTCTCTAAAGTTGGACCTTGTTCTGTGTTGAGCAATTGATTTGAATTTTTATTTTGCTGCAGGGCTTGAGAGGACTGGAAAGAGCTGCAGGTTACGTTGGGTTAATTACCTTCACCCTGGCTTAAAACATGGCCGCATGACACCTGAAGATTTATTTAACTGCAGGGCTTGAGAGGACTGGAAAGAGCTGTAGGTTACGTTGGGTTAATTACCTACACCCTGGCTTAAAACATGGCCGCATGACACCTGAAGAAGAGCATTTGATTCTGGAACTCCACTCTAAATGGGGAAACAAGTGGTCTCAGATAGCTGGAAAGCTGCCTGGTAGAACTGATAATGAGATTAAGAACTATTGGAGAACACATATGAGGAAAATGGCACAAGAAAAGAAGAGAAATTCACCCTCTTCTTCTTCTTCTTCTTCTTCTTTTTCTAATGGAATGGAGAATCAAGAAGAGGTGAGCTTTATTGTAACAATGGCTGAAGAAAAAGAAGAGGAGGTGAAGGTGGAGGTTTACCCCATGGATCAGCTGTGGAATGAGATGGAGTTCTCTTCTGTTTGGGAGTGCTGAGAGTTGAATCCTTGTGGAAGGAACGAGATGATGAGCCCAATTTAGTTCCTTCTGTTATCTAGCTAGTGAAATTCTGGTCTCCAATTATCAATCTTAGAATTAAAAATAATTAGGAATTTAAGTTAAAGTAATTTTATATTTTATCATGCAGTAACATTAGTAATATGTGTGCTTTCACAGCTTTTATTCATTAGCTGAGCTTGATCAGATCTTTGCTGTGTATTAACTTTATTTATTTATATTGTGTGCTGTAATTAGGAGCTTTCATCTTCTTCTTCTCTTCTTCTACTGCTATGTAGCATGAAATTTGTAATTTAATAACTTTAAATTCCACTTCTGTCAGTTAAATGATTACTATCATGGGTAGAAAGAAGAAAATCTTATTTATTATGAACTAAGAAAGGTGGTGACAGAAAATTCTTGGGCATATTTGCAACTAAAAATGTTTAAGTTTGTATGTGGTCATCATGTCAAAATATTTCCACTAAATTAATTACATATTTCACATATATTGATCCATGGCTTGTGACTATTAATGCTAGTTGTCATCATATGATAATTATCACAATGCATGATATCTCTTGTATGGGCAAATGACACACATTATTTATTAACAATGTAGTTTTATATATTATCATCACCTATCATCTTAAAACATTGTCAAGGGCTATTATACGAGTAATAATTTGAAGGAATCGAAACCCAGACCAGAGGGGACTTGTAATTGAAAAACAGATGCCCGACCAACTAAATCTGAATACGCAGCGGTGTTTTTTTTTTTTGGAACGGCACGGATGCAGGGAGGTCTTAGTAATATTTTTCTTATGCTTATTATAGGGATGGACATATATACGCGCAAAAGTATGTAATATTTTTCCTTTAAAAAACCTTTTGAACTTTGTGCTTAAAGATCTAAGCTTATTTTTGTGTATGTATGTATGTATGTATGAATATATATATATATATAAGGCCAAGCAATGGCCTCAGCGAAAAAGCTCGTCTTAGAATTGTACTGTAAAGGTGGCACAAGATTTTCCACTCATTACAATGAGCACTAAGAGAGCCTCTTTGTTCTTTACTCTGACAACACAAGTACTTGTAAAACTGTCATCTTTGTGATTACTAATTAACAACAAAGGGTGTATTTGCAATATATTCTTACTATGAAACATCACAAAATCATGTAAGAAATCAACCTAAAACCCTTTAAAATACAAAAGTGTAAGAATACCTTTCGGTTTCCTTCCATGGAAATAAAGAAACTCAGTTTAGCTGATGTGAATTTTATTGAAAGGAAAAAAAAAAAAAAAACTAAATGAAATGTCAAATTTCCACACATATATATGATCATGAGATAATATTAAGTATAATCATCCATACGTGCAGATTAGAGATGTACATCCTGAATACACTCTGAATATATTTATCTGCAGTTAATAGTTTTTTTTTCAAATTTTAGAACTTCTCCTGAACTATTAAGATCAAAATAGCAAATTGGGATCTGTGCAGATTAGAAATGTACATCCTGAATACAATCTGAATATATTAATCTGCAAGTTATAGTTTTTTTTCAAATTTTAGAACTTCCCCTGAACTATTAAGATCAAAATAGCAAATTGGGATCATTTCAGATCCTGCAACTGAAGTACTCTGTGGACCACCATGCATGCACTGCACTTAAGCACTTGAAGAAAGTTTTTCCTTTTTTTCTCTTTCTCTCTGTTTTCATGGGCTTAAATTTGTTTGATTTGAAAGCATAGTACTTGGTAAATTGACATGTGGGCATTCTCGTGTTCATGATTTTATACGTCAAAATTTATTTCAGCACTATTTATTACGTCAAAATTATCTTAAAGTTCTAAGAAAATAATAAAAGAAGGAAACCGGTTTAAAGTAATAATATATGAACAAATGGTACAGCAGCAGGTATGAGACTGATCGCACGGAGATCTTAGTTAGTGTTAGTTATGGGTGTCATTAAATAACAAAGTGGTAGAGAGAAAGCTCAACTACTACCTAAACATAATTATCTCAACCCAACATATGTTGTAAGCTATAGTTTTGAAGATTATGAAAACTAAATTAATGAACGTCATGGCTTGGATAAGCACAAATTAATTATAATTAGAAATTTAATTAATCACAACAAATCCATATCTATGAACCCACTTTAGCATATTGAAAACATGCGGAAAATAATGGTATTATATACTTGTTCTTTTGAAAATTCAATGCTTGGGTATAAATTAATAAATAAGACATGATTATCTTTTTTGTTATTATTATTTATTTATTTATTTTTGAGCTGCTTCCATTTTAACAGCAGTTATAAGTTTTCAGCATTCTGAACTGTTAGAAAAAAATTTGCAACGTTAAGTAGTCTGGTCAGGATGATCTTATATGTTATCACTCACATAAAACCAAATTTGCATAATTAATATAAGTGGACTCAAATGTTATTATGTGGAGTCTGATTGTGTTGATTAATTGTCATCTCAAAGCTCTATGAAGCTCAAGAATGAGTTTGCCAAAGAGAAATGATGGGGTTTGTCTCATTGTATAAGGTTTGGGAGAATTGCCCCAAAAAATTTTTATGTACCTAGCACCCCAGCACCGATCAAGCAATGCCTCAACCCTCGGAAGATGTTGTTGCAATGCTCAGTCTAAGTCTTAAATTCAAGAGTATGACACTTCAACATCCAAAAGTCAGCTTCCCAATGCCCATTAAAGCGCCGCAACGCCACTATGGTGACGCCCCAACGTTAGTAACCAAATTTAAACAATTCTCTACTTAAAAGTTTCGGTTTTGTCGATTGAATGTGTGCGGCTTTTGATTTTCTCTTGTGTAAGGGAGATGATAGGAGCGTTTGAGAGGCTTGAGTGGCGTTTAATCTATACAATTCTTCTCCATGATTTTGTATGGCTCCGTAGTTTTTTTTTTGGTTTTCGGATTTTTCCATGTTAAATTTTATGTTTTCTTTAGTTTTCTTATTTTGCTTATTTATGTTCAAAGTTTAAGTTGGGATCTCTCGAATTGATTTGTTCTATACTATTTCATCTTTCCCAACACGTGTCATGTACCTTACATTTCATCAAAATAAAGTAGAAGACAGGGAGTGGCTTGGGTAGACCACATCATCAATTGTGATTAAGAAATTAAATCTAAGAAAATTAGCTATTTAATAAGCTGATTGAGATCTTTAAAGTGTTTCATATAATTCTTTTATTAATCTGCAAACATCATCAGCATGGCAAATTTCACTACCAGACATTCGAGTGAGATGCCGAATCTATTAATTACTTCAAAGATTTGTGGTTCCTTTTTAATTTGAATCACATGTTGGTTGATTAAAAAAGGGATAGATTTGCATCATCATAGATAAAGGCTTTTGTAAAAATTATTACTCAGACAATTAATTTAAGATAACTAATGTTATCATTTGGTGGGAAAATATAGTTCTAGATATTAATCATCATTAGTTTTATCATCTTGCAGTTTTCTCTTTAAATTAATTTTCTGAATTTTAGTTGATAGTCTTTTTTGATAAAATTAACATAATATAAATTGCTTTTTTGCAATTTAGAATAATGTTTACTGTCCGTGTTAATGACATTTTCACATCTATTATATATCCAAAAACGAGTTTCTTTAACCAACAAAATAGCTCTATGCTAGATGGACTTGATTGGACTAATAGACCAAGCCCACTAGCAGTGCACTTAATGGTTTGGAGCTGATCAGGCCAATCGTACGTGTTAGTCGTATCCTTAGAGCGAACAGGCAACCAAACACCTTGCTGCCCAAAAGAACCTCACAAGTACCTTGGAAACATGCCAACATTCATGGGAGTTTCCCAGAACAGGCTCGCCAAGCTTCAAGACGAGCTCCTCCAATTGAGCTCGCTAGCTTGCAATTGTCAAGTCCTTCCAAGCTCGCCTGTAGTAAATGAATCCTCGTATCATGCTCATCGATAGTTGTCCACAACATCACCAAACTTGATGAATAGTTCTTTGAGATGGAAGATAACTCCTGTTCATCAGCATATATATAATTATTTAGTAGCAGCATGAAATACATGCCAAAGATCTTGTCAACATCGAGGCTACTCAAGCTCCATATTGTATAGCATTTGATGTAGCGTTTTATTTTATTCCTTAAGACTCCTATGTGGGCATAGAGGCTCTGTGTCGTATAAGTAAGAAGAAAAAGAGAAGAAGATGGGAGGGGATTATAGCTCTCTCTAACTTTGTCTCTTTCTTTAAAAAGTCCCTCAACTACTCCTCAATTCTTTCACAAGATCTCTCCCGGATTGTGTGATTTCACACGAGAAAATCATGATAGCATCCCATTTGAACTTAATTTTGATTATTATCTTTTAATTGCCTCAATACAAGAGATAATACTAAATCAAATGATTTTCTCAATCGTTGATTTGACTGAATTGTATGAGTTTCTATCATAAATTTTGTAATTAGTTAAAAGTAAGCAATGAATCTTACACGAGTAAATTTTTAAGATTCATTTCCGATGGTTTCATGGATGTTGATGAGGAGTTGTATGGTCATGTTGGAGGAGAATATGATATAGAGAGGTGAGGAATGGATGCCCGAAACCGGGAGAGAAGGGACGGAGTCGTGAGGAGTCGTGACGGAATCCTGCAGGAATAAATTAAATGTCTGGGAGCTTTTACCTGTAAATTGCATGTTTTGAGGACCTCTATACCTAAAAACCCCATTTTTAAAATAGCATATAGTAAGAAATTAAAAAATGAAAAATAAATCATCTATGATTAGATCAGGGCCAATTTTAGTGGTGTAAGTGAGGCTGACTATTAACAGGCCAAGGCTCAACACAAACGAAAATTAAATCATCTATGATTAGATCAGGCCCAATTTTAGTGGTGTAAGTGTGAGGCTGACTATTAACAGGCCAAGGCTCAACACAATAAGTGGCTTGTGAAATGAACTCAATGAGCTAATAAGCGAAACTTAAGCCGAACACAATTCAACTGGTTAACACGTTTTAAAAAATTTAATTAAAAATATATTTAAAATATATTAAAATTTAAGAATATTTCCTTAGATTATTAAAAATGTTTTAAAAATAATATTTCATATTTTATATAAAATATTTTTTTTTAATTAATTATCTTCTAAATGTTCATTCTAATTTAATTCCATTTAAATTAATATTTTTTTCTTTAATATTAAAAAATCTGATTCATGAATTGGCTCAAACTCATAGAATTAAACTTGAGCTCCAGCTCGAACTCATATTAATTAATCAAGCTCAAGCTTAAGCCGAGAGTAGCTCGAGCTCAACTCAACTTGTTTACACACCTCCTCAATACTACTTACAGCGAGAAAAAAAAAATCAAAATTACATTACAAATAACTCATAAAATAAAATAAGATAAAAAATTAGAAAACGGAACGAAAAATAATAAATGAAGTATAAATGCTCCATCAAAAGTAAATAATAATAAAAATCCCATCAAATGTTTTATGCACATATTTTCCAAAAAAAAAAAAAAAAAGGTATGATCGGCACTTGATTTTTAAAAGTTCAAATATTTTTCTTAAGTAGTTATTTGCCTTCTATTTTTGGAGATTTTAAGAGTCAGTGGGGGATTGGGGAAGCAAAATATTAAAAATACGGGCAATAAATTGTGGGTCTAAGTTGCCATATATAATGTCTCACCGGCTTCCTATTAAATCTTTGACCCTCTCCTTCATTCAACACTTTGATATTATTGTTAAATCCTGTGAGAGAGGGACAGAAGTCTATCCATATGAAGTAATCAAGAATTCAAAAGTATGGAACAAATGCTTCCACACAAATCCAACGATTCTTCCTTCGACGCATATCCTCTCTCCAGCTACGAAGAGGTTCTTCTCTCGCTCTCATCAATCCCCCTATCTATGCTTTCCATCAGCACTAGGGTTGATATATCCTTCAACGCCATGAATCTATGCCTCTATAAATAATATAAATCAATACCCTATCAATGGTCTTGGCCATTACCTTTCTTGATGCCTTTATTACCATCACAAAATTTAAGCCTCGATTGATGCTCTTTTCAACGCTTTTCATGCTCTCGGCAACACTTTCATTACTAGGGAGTTAAGAAATGATCTCACGTGCTGAGACTCCACTTGAGCTCGACTCAAAATATTCATACTCAAGTTGGCTTAAATAATTTTTTGGGTTAGATTCAGATTAGGAATCCTAACCCACCCATCTAGTTTTTCAAGTTATCAATTTGAACAATAAATCTGAAATTGGCCCGCTAACTCAAAATAAACTCAAAATTGACCCAAATTTAACATGGATAGCGATCATGTCTTATTTTAAACAGGTATTATGTATTTGATTTAAGTAGAAACTTTTGACTCGTTAAATCTTCAGGACTAATTCTGGCATGCAATTTTGAGTCGGGTAAACTTCACATCAAACCCAACCCAAACCCGTAATCCAGATTTGACACTCCTATTCATTGATGCCTATAAATATGACAAATTTAAGCCTTGCATTATCAATACCTCTATTGATGCCTTTATCAACGCTCTCCAATCAACAATGATTATGTACCCTTTTGGTCCACCCATCCGTTGAGCCTTACACCAGTAACCGAGAATCTCATAGCCAATAGTCTCTCTACATCTGGTATCCATTATCCCCCCACCATCATTTGCCAATGAGTTTTAGCAATTCTCCTCCTATAACACTAAGAATCATTGGTCAAAAAGTTTTTAAGCATTTTATCTAATATTTCAATTATTTTCACTCATATTTATACTCTCGCATCTTAAATTTCTAGGAAAGCATTGCCATATATAACACAATATGCACAAATTCATACATAGTAGGCATATATATCATTTACTGTGCTGATATTTTATTCTTATTTAGGATAGTTTATGCTTTTCTATTCCTATTTTTTTTCTTCTTTTGCTCATGTATGCTTGCCCTGAACTGACAATTCAACGATGGTCAATATTCTCCTATTTTCTTTCTTTTAAACTATATATATATATATATATATATATATATTGTATTAATAAATGCTTTAATCAATCATTAAATTCAACAACTTTATTTCAAACCAAATCTCCCTCATTAATTCATTCACAGACTGTAGAAGATCTGAGGTCTACTCTTTGGTCAACCAGTTGGGAACTGGAAGAGTTGAGGAAAAATGTTAGAGAAGAGCTGAGGAAGAAAGATGATGACATAAACCATCTTATTCAGCTACTTAATGCGGCAAACCAAGAAAGAGATGAAGCCAGAGACCAACTACAAATGCTCCTAAATCATCACAGGCGCTCACAAACCCCACAATTCATACTACCCAAATGCAGCAGCTCAAGCTTCACCAATTCCAAAAACCTCTCAGATTTGCAAAACCATCACTCCTATATTCATTCCCCTCTCGTCAACCCGATTGGCAGCAGTGGTGGCAAAGGCGGCAACGCAGTCACCGGCATTGTTATCCCATCCATTAGCTGCAAATATGAATACGGTGAAGAGTCAAGATTAGAACAGTTGATGAATAAGCCTTTACCAGAGAAAGGAAAGCTTCTGGAAGCAGTAATGGCTGCCGGGCCTCTATTATGCAGTCTTATGGTGGTAGGTGAACTTCCTCAGTGGAGAAATCCACCGTTTTTGAATACTTTGGCAGCTGCTCCTCAGTGGAGGAATCCTCCATCTTTGAAACCTTCTGCAGCTGCATCAATGGCGGCTAAGAGATAGAAGACGCCACTGATCATTTGTTATAGGTATTATATCAGTTTAGTGTGAGGAAATTATTCGGCTTGTAATGTAAATTTGTAAATGGTTTTATACTTTTTGAAGATGTTTTTCTCTCCGGTTAAGTAATTACTAGTCTCAATGCACAGATTTCTGAATAATCAAGTTTTAATGATTTGAGTTAAACTCTTTTTTCATGATAATGGATGGTGTAATTACTCATTCCAGCAGTAAAGAATACACTTCGGACTGCTGAGAGTGCTATTATTCCATTAGAGTATAGTATAATTCTAAACTCATACTTCTCTCTCTTACACGCACTGACTGGATAACAAATAGGGCAATTTACATGTACCACACAATTCCTATGTGTTTACATATCTAATTCCTGTGTTTACATATCCAACACTTTGGTGTCATAAACCTATATGCATGAAAAGGTGAATTACTACTAAAAAAGTTTGTAATAGTGATATTTTTTTATATAATGTTAAGGATTTGGATGTTACGTATGTATATATGGAAGTTTGGGATATGTAGATGCAAAGGAATTGTGTGGTAAGAATTTAAATTTAGCTAATTATCATTGGTTTATACAAGGCCTGCACCAACACACCTGCAGCATTACTGGTATTAGAAAAACACTAGGCAATTTTTTGACAAAATTGCATGAGGTGATATATTGTCCTAAATTCAATCCTCACACATTATTAAGTTTTAAAAAGTACCTATATTTAAGACTGACAAAGCCAGCGGTTCCTCCAACAAAATACAAATTTACGTCTCAAATCGCAGAAGTAACAACCACAAAGGGATAATTTGGAAAACTAAACCCTAAACCCTAAATATATGAAGCTGTCTTAATCATGAAAATAACCAGAAAGTGATGGGAAATAGGTGGAATCTAACTCAATCATCTGAAGCAAAATATAACAAAACAAGATACAGACTGACAATTTTTTTCCACAGCAAGATTCACACTATGATTTAACCGCGCAGAACAATAGAACCAAATTTCTCCGATACAGCTTGAGTAGACCCAAATTAAACCTCCATAGCACTTTTTTTTTATCGTAAAATTTAGGTTCCACAACTTAACAAGAACACAGCATAACAAATTTTAAAAGCAGCCTTAAAACTAATTATTCATTTGGGATTATGACAAAAGAATCAGAATGCACTCGAATGCACAAGTGTCACTCTATCTTCTACCTTCAGAAAATGCTTATCTGTACCGGGGCTAAAATAGTCCTTCGTAGGGAATACTTCAACACATTTAAAATCTAGAGACTAAATTGGCACTTCTATAGATTTTGGGACAAAAACTATTTTGACACTTTTCTCAAATTGTACTATAAATAATCAAACCATAAGCCAACAAACAGGCAAGAATCTGATAACAATGAGTGATGTTATCCCCTTAACAGACATGTAAGAGAGGTCTACATGGACTCCAAGCAATATGGGAAATAGAACAGTTACATGCCAAAATTAAGAAATCTGAACAATAATTTTTTTTTCCATTTAATTAAATTAAAGCCCTGTTGTTCTGCATCCAAAAACGTAATTTCAAGTTTTTATTTGTCTTCCCTGTCTCATTGGTCCATGCTGGGAAAATATCCTATATGAATTTAGTAGCTATGGTTCTACTTCAATCGTCAGTTTAGAAAGCCTTCCGAGAGAGAATATTCTGGTGGGGAGAGGCTGCAGACTATTTGCTATTTTTTCCTGCTTGAATGAAAAATAATTCAGGTTTGATTACGACCCGGATGAGATTTTAGTAACTATGATCTCAATTATAGGAAAAAATATTTAGTTAGGCTGCTGCAATGTTGAACTCTATTTAAGCTCTGAAACTCACTGATGAACAAAAGATTGACAAAGACAATATTCCAGGAGTTTCATATAAGATAGCTAGTGATCGAACTGTCAATATATTCTGGATCTGTCTTAGGTCTATAAATTGAAAGACAGGCAGTTTAAGACACAACAAAATAATTCATTCAAAAAAAAAAAAAAAAAAACTTAAAAATGACTAACGGCCCAATGTCTTTTGTAACACAGGTAGATGTAACAGGCCTTGCTTGGAAAAAAATACTACACATTTATTTGTGAAAGCAAATTTTGAAACATTCAAATATTATTAAAAAAAAAAACACACCATTTTCAGATTATGTTAACCGCGAGGCATACTACATCTTTTCAAGAAAAATTTCAAATCCAACAACAACAAGCCTTTATCCCACTAAGTAGAGTCGGCTACATGAATTCATTTTCTCCATTACAGTCAATTGAGTGCAATATTTTAAAAAGAAAAACTAAGATCTCAAGGTATTTATAGTTTACTACTTGTTTTAATGTTGCGGGTAAATATTTTTAATTTTCTTCAGCAGGCAAGTGGAGTTGCAGAAGAAAGCAAGAAACCAAGAGGTAGTTGAGCTAAATTGCAGGTATTAATAAGGGTGTGCATGGTTTGGTCAAGACCGAAAAATTAAATTGAACCGAACTGAGCCCATTTGATTGATTCAATTTGGTTCAAAAATAAAGATTGATTTTCGGTTTAAATAATTATAATATTTGATTCTTGGCTTTTGGGCTGGTTTTAATATCCATCAAATCAAATTAAAAAAATAATTAATATTAGAATTAAGAAATTACAAAATAAATTGAGCACATAACATGTTTATTTTAGGATAGTTTGATGTTTTTAATTTTAAAGAGAATGTGAGGGGATAAGAATGAAAAATGAAAATTTTAATTTTAAAAGAGAACCTTAAAATTTAATTATTTTAGGACAAAAGATAAATTTTGGAATTAAACGGAATCACAGTTAGGATCAGTTTTAGCCAAAATTTGGCAGGTTTGGTTTTTTGGATATTGGATTTTGGATTTTGGATTTTGGATTTCGGTTTCCAGTCTCAGGTTTCCAGTTTTTGGTTTCTAGTTTTCGGTTTCCAGTTTCATTCAGTTTGACTAATTTGTGACCCTCACCATACAGATTAACCAATTGCACACCCTGGGTATTATAAACAAAACAGCAACTCCATATCAAAATAGAATGCAAAGGATTTACAAAGCTAAACACGAATAGTGGGGATAATCCTACCACCAATAATGATTAAGAAATGTAGAATCCATCGATATGGTCGCATGATACATGGTTGTTAACCGTATATTATGTAATGGGCCAACATTACAAGTCACAGTTCAAAAAATGAAAATCTAGTTTTTTTTCTTTTTTTGTGTGATAAAAAATCAACCAAAGAAAATATATAAAAGGGATGATTCTATTGTAAATACAATTATCATGATAAAAGGATACACACAGTGGATAATGTCACCAAGAGAAAGGGCTTCCTCCAAACAGAAATATCTCGTTCTCCAAATCCCTCACCCATTGACATACCCGATTGCAAGTCTTTATTGCCAGTGCCTGCATTATTGTCAAAACACAGGCATTGCCCTATGCATTATTTGTAAACAGAAAATCAATTATGCTTTATTTTAAACCCCCAGATTATTAAATTAGCTGTAAAAAATATTATTAAAAAATGAATAAATACAACTTGAAAATAGTACGGATCAAACCTTGTCAGCAAGAGGGTCAAAAGCTGCATAGAGTTCAAAATCTTGAGTGATCCAACAAAGTAATACTGCACAAAAAGAAAATAACTAATCATTGGAAAATTAAAATATACCCGGAGCTGATATATGAAAGTGCTGCATTTTGTCATTTGGTTGGATATAATTAGACATCAATAAAGATATTAAACTCTAAAAGCACCTTTAAAATCCCTAAAGAGAAAGATTCATTTTTACACTCAAAAATAACTTCAAAACAAAAATCAGTACTTTCTAAACGTGTTTTCAATCTACAAACAACCAAATAAGCCCTTTGTTACACAGAGAAATAGAAACCGGGAAAGTAAAATGAAGAAATGATACCAAAATAACAAAAAAGAGCAATAAGAACAAAATTTTAAAATACTCGTGGTTGATATGCGTATCATCAGAAACAGTTTCTAATTTTAATGGAAATCCTAAGTCGGCGTCAGACAGTTTCACTTTCTAGTTGAAATTCTGTGTCGATGATAGACAATTACTC